CGAAATTCTGAGCTAACTCTCTGTTCTGCATCTCTCTTGAGGGCTATTAGAGTGGAATTGGCGGACTGAGCTTCCCTTATTCTCTGGATTAATACAGGCTGAACAGTCAGGTGACCCAAACATGTGACTCTCCTCAAGTCCTAAAGCCGTACTTGTTGTGTGATCCTAATCTGCCTGCATTCTGAAACCATCAAATAGGCTAATGTACCTGCACTTTTTCTGCTGAGTGTATCGGCTACTAAGTTACCATTTCCCGGGTGATACAAGATATTGCAATCATAATCCTTAAGAAGTTCTATCTACCTTCTCTGACGCATGTTGAGATCTTTTTGAGTGAATATGTGTTTTAAACTCTTGTGATCAGTGTAGATCTAAAAGGTCTCTCCATACAAATAATGACGTCAAATCTTCAAGGCGTGTATAATTGTGGCAAGCTCTAAGTCATGGGTGGGATAGTATTTCTCATGACTTTTCAACTGTCTGGACCCATGGGCTATGACATTCTCATGCTGCATTAAAACACAACCCAAGTCTAAATAAGAGGCATTACCGTAAACTGTATATCCCCCGATCCACTCGGCAAAACCAACACAGGTGCAATAGTCAGCCGTTTCTTTAGCTTTGAAAAACTTCTTTCACAGTCCTCATTTCACTCAAACTTGACATTTTTCTTTGTGAGCCGAGTCAGGAGAGTAGCTAGACTAAAAAACCTTTCCACAAACCTGCGGTAATAACCCGCCATCCCCAGAAAGCTACGAATCTCCTTAATTGATGTCAATTTTTTCTAACCGAGTACTGCTTCAACCTTTTAAGGGTTCACTGACACTCCATCTTTTGATATGATGTATCTTAAGAAGGTGGTCTGCTCAAGCTAAAATCCACACTTATTCAACTTTGCATACAGTTTTTTGTCTCTGAGAACCTGCAAAACTTGAGCTAAATGGTGAGCATGTTCCTCTTTACTTTTTGAATAAACAGTATGTCATCGATGAACACAATAACAAACTGATCCAAGAATTGTCTGAAGACCCTGTTCATCAAGTTAATGAAGATGACTGGGGCGTTGGTTAGTTCAAATGGCATGACCAAGAACTCATAGTGTCCGTACCTGATTCGAAAGGCTGTCTTGAGGATGTCTTCT